CACGGGTGCCTCGTTCACGCCCCGCGTCCCACTGCCTTGTGGGTCAGGCCCTGATCACGGTTCCCAAGGAAAACCCTCTTCAACGGTGTGCGCTACCGTGAAGTATGCTGTAACCTAAAGTCCTAATCACCCATTTGGAAACACCTATCTTCCATCTGTCTAGCTCTTCCTTTTAAACCCGAATAACCCAGCTGTCTACGCCACCCATCGGATATCCCTGGACGTTTTACCAGTAAAAGCAAACAATCATTCAAGATTTTTGAAAACGAAATTCTCTTTTCACTTAGCTGCGTTTAACGTCCGCACACTACCAGATCGGTCAACAATCTGCCTTAGTTACAACCCTTGAAGCATTCCATTTAGACGTGTATTCGCTCTAAACACGTACACAAGACTGCGCTTCGATCATCGCTCTGTATTCCCCTAACCCAAACTCATTTTCACGCTTCACCTTGCGTGTGTCAGGCGATTCGACATCCGACGATCGCGGTGCTGCTGATGTTGGGATTGGCTTATTGACTGGAATGCCGTCAGTAGCCGACTATGCGCTGTACGTCTCGACGGGTCGGCAGGGGCCAGAAGCTACAGAATGAAGGGTCGATGTTTATTAGTCCTATCAGTGTACGTCCAGACCGATTGCAGTACACCTGAAATAAAGGTTGGATTATACAAGGACCTTTCTCGATTACTCCAAAGTGTTGGAACAACGGACATCCGGGTAATCGCCGGAGACTTCAGTGCCCAAGTGGGATTCCTGGAAGAATCAGAAAGGCTTCTAGGTGGACCACATGCATTCCCAGCCAACCGGACGGACAACAGAGATCGCCTACTTCAAATCTGTGCGGACCACGGATTGTTCCTGTCAAGCTCGAACTTCTCGCACAAGAAACGACACCGCCTTACATGGAAACCGCCAACCTCTTCACGGCACTGGACCCAAATCGACCACATCGCCATAAGTTAATGCTGGAGGGAATCGGTTCAAGATTGCCGATCTTACTGGTCAACCAACACCTGTGGATAGGGACCACGCTTTGCTGCGAGCCAAATTCTCCTTACGCCTGGCAAACAAGCCACAATACAACGTCAGCGATTGTTACAAATCAGCCTTCGAAGCGGAACTCTCCGATCGCCTGTCAGTTCAACTACAAACCGAAGGAACATTGAACACTGGAAGCAAATCAAGGAAGCTATGCAGATATCAATAAAACAACGTCAAACCCTCACACAGATTCAAAACAAACGACGGATTTCATCGACCTCGGCTGCCCTGCTGGACGCCCGCAGAACCCTTCCTCTTGATGCCACGCGCAAATCCCTTAAACGCCAGCTCATTAAGAGTTTGAAGAATGATCGAGAGAAGTGGTGAATAGGAAAGTGTAAAGAGATGGAGAAAGCTGCGGCTCTTGGTAATAGTCGTAATCTTTTCCGTCTAATTAGGAATACGGGCCCTAGGAAAATAGGCGTAAGTGAGGTAATTAAAGAATCCGATGGTACACTGATTCACCATCAGCAACGCCGTCTTGATAGATGGGCTGAACATTTCGAGGCTAGGTTCTACCGGTCCCCATCGACATCAGAGCAATCACCCCTAACTAAGCTGGGCGAATACTCTCAGCTGATACCAGTACTCAATTTGAACTGGAAGTTTCCCGGAATATAAAGCCCTCGGTCCAAATGGGTTGTTCTCATCGGCATTGAAGGACGGAGAGTCAGCCTTGGTTTTGGAGTTGACGAAGCATCTGGAGTCCATATGGGAGCGAATAAATTTCAACAGAATGGTGTGAATCGGTCATCTTAGCGATTTACAAGACAGATGATAGATCCTCTTGTGAAAACCACAGGGGAATCAGTGTAATCAACATTGCTTCTAAACTTCTTGCTGAGGTTATATTTCATCGATTGTTTGCCGCAGGTGAACAGTGCATGCGTTTCAATCAGGCTGGTTTCAGACCTGGTCGAGGTTGTGTAGACCATATGTTCACCCTCCGCCAAATTCTGGAGATGTGAATCCCGGGATGGTCGTAATCGGTGGTTGAAGACACTGAATAATAACATGGCTGAGTGTCGTAAACAATGGCGTTCGCGCACCTTCTCAAATTCTTTGCAACCTTAAAAAGAAGTTTTCCATTGTCTAATCGACTCTACTTCAAAAATTTCCTGTATTTCACCTACAGCTTCATTAAAATGGGTAGCCAAAAGACAGCAACCCAAACCGGCGCACGAAAGTGCATGCTCAATCGTTGCACAGACTGGCGCTGAAGAAAAAAAAAAGAATCAATGCGACCGAGGTGAACACGGACAACACAGAAATTAGTCTAAAAAGTATCGGAACGATGAGGGGACGACAACACGCATTATTCAAATCAGCTGTTGGTGAATCATCAGACTGACAGCACACACACACACACGACACTAAAATGTGCGCTAAACGACGGAACAGGCAGAAGAGAATTAGCGTCCCAATTCCAAGGCCTGTTCGTGAATGGCATCAGTGAGTGACAGAGAAATGAAACCCCCCTTCTTGCTAGTTGGTGAAATACAAGGCGAATTTAGACAATGCAAGACCCACTTTTTCTCGAGTTTCGTACTGATGCTAATAACATACAGATAGATATTCTCGACCGAATGGACCACGATTTTCAATGTAGTATGTAGGTTGCATAGTGAAGACACCGATGAGAAGAAATAACTTACTCGAGTGTCTCGAATCTGTTTGAAATCTTTGTTGTACAGGGCGAAGCCCTTCTCGAACGCTGTTGCGTCTGCCTCGGACCAGGTCTCCATGTAGCCCGGGATTTCTGTAAGAAACACGTTGAATGAGAGAACGATGGGGTGGATGACCAAACACAATCCGTTAGACATCAGGCTTTCAAATTGGTGCATACTAACACGATCAGACGAGTTGCTGAGAGCGTATGTACGCATATGGTCCTATATATTTTACATTTTCACACACGTATGAATTCAAACTATGTGCCAAACAAATCATGGTACAATAATCTGTATAAAAGAGACAGACGTTCCGTGGTTTGCATGTCGGCGGAATACTGCCAAGTTGCCCAGGCCAAGGCAGGTGAATTTTCTTTCGGACTCCACAACCGGAGCCTTT